CAAACAAAGATGGCGTGAGAACCGAGTCTTGGGATACTTAACTTCTTGACTTTGCTCAGGCCTTATTTTATTTTCTTGCGATTTTTTGCCATCTGTTTCTTAGAAATCTAAAATATTCTCTGCTTACCGTATTAACAATTTTACGAGCTATCAAATGCCTCTCCCAAATCCGTGAAACTAAATTCAACATTTTTAAGTGTTTTCAGATACTCATCAACCCATAACAATCACAATTGTTGTTAGATACAGCGTCTTCCTGTCTTGTTTAAGTGATGTCTTACCCGACAAAGTTGGCGTCTGTCTGAGCTCCTGTCAAAGATAGTCATGGATGTCAAAGATAGTCATGGATGTTGTTGTGGGTACAGTCTTGTAACTGCTACGAGCCTTGTAATTGTCTGTAGCAGCTTCGTGACAAGCACAGTCAGTCACGGCTGATCTGATGTCTTGGTTACCTACTGACCAGGAGGTAAACCTGTCTTCAGCACCCTCCCCCTTTTTCCTCCTCTTCCCCCTTCTCTTCCTTTTCCTTCTTCTTATCCTCCTCCTTCTCCTCCAATAGCTTTGCTGCTGTTGTTGTTGCTGCTGTTGCTATTATTGTTGCTGCTGCTGCTATTGTTACTGTTCTTGCTGCTGCTGCTATTGTTACTGTTCTTGCTGCTGCTGCTATTGTTACTGTTCTTGCTGCTGCTGCTATTGTTACTGTTCTTGCTGCTGCTGCTATTGTTACTGTTCTTGCTGCTGCTGCTATTGTTACTGTTCTTGCTGCTGCTGCTATTGTTACTGTTCTTGCTGCTGCTGCTATTGTTACTGTTCTTGCTGCTGCTGCTATTGTTACTGTTCTTGCTGCTGCTGCTATTGTTACTGTTCTTGCTGCTGCTGCTATTACCAACACCATCATCACATCACCACCTACTCTACGCTCTCTCTCTCTCTCTCTCTCTCTCTCTCTCTCTCTTTCCTCTCACACTTCTTTCTACGTCTTCCCATTCACATTACCGTCTTCCTCTGCTCCATCAACACCTACCCTCTCCTTCCCTCTGTCATTAACTTTCCCGGTGACAACCTCCATCCCTTCCATCTATCTAAATTAATCCTATTATTGTTCCCTCTACACCTACTCACACCTCTTTCAAATACATACATACATACATACATACATACATACATACATACATACATACATACATACATACATACATACATACATACATACATACATGCATATATAAATACATATGTGACGAAGAGGCATCAACAGTCAGTCTGCCATGCCCTCTGCCAGTCAGTCACACTGACTGGCAGGATAACCCGGGGTAGAGAGGGATAGCCACCCAGGATAACCCGGGGTATCGAGGGATAGCCACCCAGGATAACCCGGGGCATCGAGAGATAGCCACCCAGGATAACCCGGGGTATCGAGGGATAGCCACCCAGGATAACCCGGGGTATCGAGGGATAGCCACCCAGGATAACCCGGGGCATCGAGGGATAGCCACCCAGGATAACCCGGGGCATCGAGAGATAGCCACCCAGGATAACCCTATAAAGTCAGTGAGTTATCGAGGACGGTCTCTCTTATTACCATTGTGTTCCTTCGATCTTGTCCCCCAGGATGCCACCCACACCAGTCAACTAACGCCCAGGTACCTACTTACTGCTAGATGAACATGGACAGTAGGCCAACATTTCCACCCGTGCCGGGGATCGAACCAAGGGCACTCGGCGTGCGAGGTGAGTGCGCAACCAACTGAACCACAGAGACGGCAACAACATCCTCAGAATCCCGGACCAGAAGCATAAAAATGATAAACAGGGGACCAGCATGAAAATTTATCACTGGCTATGTTAAGAGTCTCCAACACCTGTGTAAGTTCCCAACACCTATGTAAGTTCCCAACACCTGTGTTAGTCTCCAACACCTGTGTAAGTTCCCAACACCTGTGTAAGTTCCCAACACCTGTGTAAGTTCCCAACACCTGTGTTAGTCTCCAACACCTGTGTTAGTCTCCAACACCTGTGTTAGTCCCCAACACCTGTGTAAGTTCCCAACACCTGTGTAAGTTTCCAACACCTGTGTTAGTCTCCAACACCTGTGTTTGTCTCCAACACCTGTGTTAGTCCCCAACACCTGTGTAAGTTCACAACACCTGTGTAAGTTCCCAACACCTGTGTTAGTCCCCAACACCTGTGTAAGTTCCCAACACCTGTATTAGTCTCCAACACCTGTGTTAGTCCCGAACACCTGTGTTAGTCTCCAACACCTGTGTTAGTCTCCAACACCTGTGTTAGTCCCCAACACCTGTGTAAGTTCCCAACACCTGTGTTAGTCTCCAACACCTGTGTTAGTCTCCAACACCTGTGTTAGTCCCCAACACCTGTGTAAGTTCCCAACACCTGTGTTAGTGTCCAACACCTGTGTTAGTCCCGAACACCTGTGTTAGTCTCCAACACCTGTCTTAGTCTCCATCACCTGTGTTAGTCCCCAACACTGTGTAAGTTCCCAACACCTGTGTTAGTCTCCAACACCTGTGTTAGTCTCCAACATCTGTGTTAGTCCCCAACACCTGTGTAAGTTCCCAACACCAGTGTAAGTTTCCAATACCTGTGTTAGTCTCCAACACCTGTGTTTGTCTCCAACACCTGTGTTAGTCCCCAACACCTGTGTAAGTTCACAACACCTGTGTAAGTTCCCAACACCTGTGTTAGTCCCCAACACCTGTGTAAGTTCCCAAGACCTGTGTTAGTCTCCAACACCTGTGTTAGTCCTGAACACCTGTGTTAGTCTCCAACACCTGTGTTAGTCCCATCACCTGTGTAAGTTCCCAACACCTGTGTTAGTCTCCAACACCTGTGTTAGTCCCCAACACCTGTGTAAGTTCCCAACACCTGTGTTAGTCTCCAACACCTGTGTTAGTCCCCAACACCTGTGTAAGTTCCCAACACCTGTGTAAGTTCCCAACACCTGTGTTAGTCCCCAACACCTGTGAAAGTTCCCAACACCTGAATTAGTCCCAACACCTGTGTTAGTCCCCAACATCTGTGTTAGTCCCCAACATATGTGTTAGTCCCCAACACCTGTGCTAGTCCCCAACACCTGTGTTAGTCCCCAACACCTTTGTTAGTCCCCAACACCTGTGTTAGTCCCCAACACCTGTGTTAGTCCCCAACACCTTTGTTAGTCCCCAACACCTGTGTTAGTCCCCAACACCTGTGTTATGCTCAAGGTGTTTAAAAGTGACCTAAAAAGCACATTAATAACAGACCTGGAATATACTCAACGAGTGACTCCAGTAAACTGGATAAGAATAAGACATTGTATTAAGTAAACCAAGTGTTCCTAGCACCCTTCCTAGCACCCTTCCTAGCACCCTTCCTAGCACCCTTCCTAGCACCCTTCCTAGCACCCTTCCTAGCACCCTTCCTAGCACCCTTCCTAGCACCCTTCCTAGCACCCTTCCTAGCACCCTTCCTAGCACCCTTCCCAGCAGTTCCCAGCAGGTTCTGCAGCAGTGGTGGCTGGTGTGGGCACTCGGCCAGCAGTGCTTATTCTCCCACACCACACACAGTTCTCCTCACAGAATAACAAACATTAACCTCCCAAACTAACTTCAAGGTTATTTGTAAATACAAGAATATACATATTATGCATCTTACGGTGATATATATATATATATTTATATATATTATATATATATATATATATATATATATTATATATATTATATATATATATATATATATCGTCCCGAATAGGCAAAGCTTGCGATTTGGGCTTAAATAGCGACACTTCTCTTGCCGAATAAGGCAAGCAAAAAATTGTGTTTGCAATAATTTTGCAAAAATCATTCTGAACTTAACGAAAAAATATATACATTTCATTGTGTTTGTTTATTATTAAATTATTGTAAACTGATCTAAGATATATTTAGTCGGATTAGGCTAAATTAAATTGAGCTTGTTATAATAAGGTTAGGTAAGTTTTCTGAGGTTCTTTTGGTATAAAATTATTAATTTTTGCATTAACGTAAATGAAAAAAATCTATCTTTAAACGTATGAGAGAAAATTTTAGAAAGGGGCTTAATTTTAAAAGAGTTCTTGCTAATTGATAAATTTTAGGTATCCGGAAGCACCGCTGGTCGTCAGGTTATCAACACAGTCCTGCTGAATGCTGGATGCTGGATGCTGGATGCTGGATGTTGTAAAGAGGATGGAGGACACAGTGTCTAACTCGACCCAAACTAACTGATTCCTTGAGGGGTACACCCTGCTTTGAAACACAAAACTTTGTTACTGTGAGGCGCTCCTGAGATCAATATGCGGGTAGGCACTAAATGTCTCACCACTGGAAGATCACCAGTGGTATCAAGCTACACTTCCAGTGACTGGGGAGAGATCGGGGGTACACAAGGCAACGCAAGTAGCATTACCTGCATTTCTGTCTTTGTGAGCTGCAGCCAGCAGACTAACGAAGGAGATAATGCGTGAGAGACGCTGTAGGAGCCCACGACTCTGATGTTCACTGAAGCAACAGGTCAGTGAGGTAGCCTTACAGACTCAGGCAGACCAGCTCCTCACAGAGATCACAAAAAGTCCCAGAGAGACGAAGCAATCGTGGAGAAAATCTCCCGGACATTCATCAGTAATGCCTCAGGAAGTAATTAAAGCTCGCCTCCTTGCGGTGAAGGCACCCCATGATGGGGATTTCCTCTTGGCAATCTCTAATTACTCCTTGGGCACTCGGCTCGACCTTCAGGTCACTCACAGTGGTGTAAGTCTTCACTAGCCGCCCTCATACTCAACAAACACAAGTGTATCTCTGACAGTGAGTCAGTTGACTAACTTGGTCTTGTCTGGCATACGTAAGAAGAGAAGTATGGCAGACACGAAGAGGTTAATATGTACCATCAAGGGAAGTCTGGCCACAGCTGGTTGTTCAGGAGAACAGGTACCCCAGGTACTGAGGCCAGATGGCAGCCAGAAGCCTCCAGATGGAGTCACTATGCTACCTTGGAAAGCTGGTCAACACACTGCATGGAACTACACTTGTGCGTTTACATTGGATGACGCCTACTTACAACACTGGCTGACACCTACCTACATCACTGGCTGACACCTACTTACAACACTGACTGACACACCTATAACACTCTCAAGGCGGAATTAGCTGTTCTCTCAGTTTTAAGTAGAACCAGAGGATCAATAAATACAGGAACCAACCAGGAAAACAACCATGGGCCCAGAGCGATCAGCTACCTTTATGCAGAGGCTCAGCGTTACCATCCAAAAAGGTAATGCCTGCAGCATCCTGGGTCCACGACCCACCACCGAGTAGGGAAAGAAAGTAATCAAACAGAACCGGGGCAAAACCTTATTTACGTTCGACTACTGTCTTCTCTGAGGCTGTGGGTCCCTAGTTAGTACTCTCTCTCTCTCTCTTGCTCTCTCTTTCTTGTATGTGAAAACAAGAGTGACTTACCTGTTCTAGCTCTGGCGTGAACCTGACTGGTCTGAGGTAATAGCAGATAACAACTACGTGGATGAGGTTGATGAGAACGAAGATAGCGTTCCAAAGAAAGGTGTCAAAGGCGCAGAGCACCACCCAGCCCCACAGGCTGAAGAACATACAGCCTATGGTGAGGGTGATGCGTAGGTACAATATCCCGTAGATGCCGTTGGGAGCCAGGTACGAGAGGAAGAGGAAGATGTTGGCCAGCTGGAAGTAGATATGGTTGATGGGGAGCCAGCTGGAACACACGGCATAGTCAGCATAGGTGATGCCACCCATCTTAATGATGTCCTGAATGTCATAGCTACTGGGAAACATGGGCTCATGGGTGGAGGAGGTGGTGGCTGGCGTGGGCGTGGTGCCGCCCGTTGTGGTGGGCGTGGCTGTGCTGGAGAGGTTGTAACCCACATCTTCCTCGGTGAGGTTGTTGGAGAAGAGCAAGATGGAAGCAATGGTGGTGACGATAGGTTCCAGAACTGTGGCGTTGATGCCCATGGTGGTGATGGTAATGGTGATGGTGGTGGTGATGGTTGAGTCAGCTCCCAGGGGCGTGACTGCAACGACCCTCAGACAACTTGATGCGCTAATAAGTGGACTAGATGAGAGGATGTAGACGTACGAGGGGAGCTGGTGGTTGTAACAGGTAGTGAGGGAGATCAACAGGTGTACACTACCACTGGCACCATCATCAACAATGATGGACCTTCCTGTCTCTCTATGTACACCTCACAAGCGTGTGTACACCTCACAAGCGTGTGTACAGAGTCAGGCCTACACCACCTCCCCGCTGAGCCATAGTGCCACTAAAACACTTCACTTATATAACACTGGTAATCACAAACTCAATTTATCCTTCATAATCTGCAAGATAACATCTTCGAAAGAGAGTCCTTGTTAGCCTCAGACGTACTCAAGACGTACTTGAGACTCCTTCAGTTATTTACCCTCACAGAGTCATGCTACATCATTCTAGCGACGTTACACTACGTTTCCCACACATTTCTACGAATGAATGAGAGGCTACAGACGTGTGTCTGTCACGAATAACAACACGCTGGATTCCGAACCCGCCGATTCGAGCGCATATCACGAACCAGACGACACGGAATTTCGACTTTTGCGTTATGCGTCACATGACGCTGAAGCGTGATGCCGGTGCTTCCCCTCTCACTTCCTGCTCCACCACAGACATAATTCCCTACCAGCTCATCACTGAGGTACCGACAAGAAGTGGTTTCCTTAGAGTAAACACAGTGAGCACCAGCATGGACCTGAGTGACGCCACGGGTGAGAGAAGAGGCGCTCCTTGGCCTTCTCCCTGGTTCGATTCCCTACGCAAATAGATGAGTACACGACACTTGTCAATATGTGTTCACCTCACAACACTTGCAGCAACCTCAGCCTGGGAATGACCTGTTTAACGCGCTAGGTGATAGAATACGGAGAGGCGGACACTGAGGGATGACCTGACCAGGAGACAGTCACCCTGGGGACTTGACCAGGAGACAGCCACTCTAGGGACGTGTCCAGGAGACAGTCACCCTGGGGACCTGACCAGGAGACAGCCACTCTAGGGACGTGTCCAAGAGACAGCCACCCTAGGGACGTGTCCAAGAGACAACCACTGTGAAGACGTGCCCAGGAGATTGCTGGCTTGCCACGGAGGGAGGAGATGCCGTCTTGTTTATAGTAGTGGGTGGTAGTGGGTGGTGGTAGTGGGTGTGGTAGTGGTGGTGGTGGTGGTAGTTGTGGCCGTCACGCCCACACACGCCCTCACCCAGCCCTCGCTACGCCCACATCTGCAAGCAAAATAAAAACACAAACAATAATAATGGTGCCTAATAAAATTATTATTATTATTATTATTATTATTATTATTATTATTATTATTATTATTATTATTATTATTATTATTATTATTATTAGTGTCCTTATTAGTGTCCTTATTTCCACAATGATCAACTTTCTTGTCCGTACAGAGAATCAAGGGCCTCCCTACCTCCCTAATCCCTACCCCTTCCCCCCTACCCCTTACCCCTTACTCCTACCCCCTACCCCTTCCCCAACCCCTTACCCCTTCCCCTTACGCCACCAAACAAACACTACACAAACCAGAAGTAAATGTCAACACTCCCCCGCAGATGAGACCAGACAGCCAGAGCTAGACAGCCAGAGCTAGACAGCCAGAGCTAGACAGCCAGAGCAAGACAGCAGAGCTAGACAGCCAGAGCTAGACAGCCAGAGCTAGACAGCCAGAGCTAGACAGCCAGAGCTAGACAGCCAGAGCTAGACAGCCAGAGCTAGACAGCCAGAGCTAGACAGCCAGAGCTAGACAGCCAGAGCTAGACAGCCAGAGCTAGTCATCCAGAGCTAGACAGCCAGAGCTAGACAGCCAGAGCTAGACAGCCAGAGCTAGACAGCCAGAGCTAGACAGCCAGAGCTAGACAGCCAGAGCTAGACAGCCAGAGCTAGACAGACAGCCAGAGCTAGACAGCCAGAGCTAGACAGCCAGAGCTAGACAGCCAGAGCTAGACAGACAGCCAGAGCTAGACAGACAGCCAGAGCTAGACAGCCAGAGCTAGACAGCCAGAGCTAGACAGACAGCCAGAGCTAGACAGCCAGAGCTAGACAGCCAGAGCTAGACAGCCAGAGCTAGTCATCCAGAGCTAGACAGCCAGAGCTAGACAGCCAGAGCTAGACAGCCAGAGCTAGACAGACAGCCAGAGCTAGACAGACAGCCAGAGCTAGACAGCCAGAGCTAGACAGCCAGAGCTAGACAGCCAGAGCTAGACAGACAGCCAGAGCTAGACAGCCAGAGCTAGACAGCCAGAGCTAGACAGCCAGAGCTAGACAGACAGCCAGAGCTAGACAGACAGTCACAGCTAGACAGCAAGAGCTAGACAGCCAGAGCTAGACAGCCAGAGCTAGATAGACAACCAGAGCTAGACAGACAGTCAGAGCTAGACAGCAAGAGCTAGACAGCCAGAGCTAGACAGACAGCCAGAGCTAGACAGACAGTCAGAGCTAGACAGCCAGAGCTAGATAGCCAGAGCTCGTCAGCCAGAGCTAGACAGACAGCTAGAGCTAGACAGACAGCCAGAGCTAGACAGACAACCAGAGCTAGACAGACAGCCAGAGCTAGACAGACAGCCAGAGCTAGACAGACAACCAGAGATAAACAGACAGCCAGAGCTAGACAGCCAGAGCTCGACAGCCAGAGCTAGACAGACAGCTAGAGCTAGGCAGACAGCCAGAGCTAGACAGACAACCAGAGCTAGACAGACAGCCAGAGCTAGACAGAGTGCCAGAGCTAGACAGACAACCAGAGATAGACAGACAGCCAGAGATAGACAGACAACCAGAGATAGACAGACAGCCAGAGCTAGACAGACAACCAGAGATAGACAGACAGCCAGAGCTAGACAGACAACCAGAGATAGACAGACAGTCAGAGCTAGACAGACAGCCAGAGCTAGACAGACAGTCAGAGCTAGACAGCCAGAGCTAGACAGACAGCTAGAGCTAGACAGACAGCCAGAGCTAGACAGACAACCAGAGCTAGACAGACAGCCAGAGCTAGACAGACAGCCAGAGCTAGACAGACAACCAGAGATAAACAGACAGCCAGAGCTAGACAGCCAGAGCTCGACAGCCAGAGCTAGACAGACAGCTAGAGCTAGGCAGACAGCCAGAGCTAGACAGACAACCAGAGCTAGACAGACAGCCAGAGCTAGACAGAGTGCCAGAGCTAGACAGACAACCAGAGATAGACAGACAGCCAGAGATAGACAGACAACCAGAGATAGACAGACAGCCAGAGCTAGACAGACAACCAGAGATAGACAGACAGCCAGAGCTAGACAGACAACCAGAGATAGACAGACAGTCAGAGCTAGACAGACAGCCAGAGCTAGACAGACAGTCAAAGCTAGACAGCCAGAGCTAGACAGACAACCAGAGATAGACAGACAGCCAGAGCTAGACAGACAACCAGAGATAGACAGACAGTCAGAGCTAGACAGACAGCCAGAGCTAGACAGACAGTCAGAGCTAGACAGCCAGAGCTAGACAGACAGCTAGAGCTAGACAGACAGCCAGAGCTAGACAGACAACCAGAGCTAGACAGACAGCCAGAGCTAGACAGACAGCCAGAGCTAGACAGACAACCAGAGATAAACAGACAGCCAGAGCTAGACAGCCAGAGCTCGATAGCCAGAGCTAGACAGCCAGAGCTCGACAGCCAGAGCTAGACAGACAGCTAGAGCTAGGCAGACAGCCAGAGCTAGACAGACAACCAGAGCTAGACAGACAGCCAGAGCTAGACAGACAGCCAGAGCTAGACAGACAACCAGAGATAGACAGACAGCCAGAGCTAGACAGACAACCAGAGATAGACAGACAGCCAGAGCTAGACAGACAACCAGAGATAGACAGACAGCCAGAGCTAGACAGACAACCAGAGACAGACAGACAGCCAGAGCTAGACAGACAACCAGAGATAGACAGACAGCCAGAGCTAGACAGACAACCAGAGATAGACAGACAGTCAGAGCTAGACAGACAACCAGAGATAGACAGACAGTCAGAGCTAGACAGACAACCAGAGATAGACAGACAGTCAGAGCTAGACAGACAACCAGAGATAGACAGACAGTCAGAGCTAGACAGACAGTCAGTGCTAGAAATAGCCAGAGATAGACAGACAGCCAGAGTTAAACAGACAGAGTCAGCAAGAGAGCCAGCCAGAGTTAGACAGCCAGTGTCAGCCAGAGACAGCCAGTTAGACAGCCAATGTCAGCCAGACAGTCATACATTCTGCCAGTTCCCTCTGGTAGCTATGTTATGTTATGTTAGGTAATGTTATTCTCTGTGAGTGCTTGGGTGTGTGTGTACCTGTATGTGGTTCCAAGGGTCGATTCACCGCTCCTGGCCCCTTGTGTGTGTGTGTGTGAGAGAGAGAGAGAGAGAGAGAGAGAGAGATAGAGAGAGAGAGGAGAAGAGAGAGAGAGAGAGAGAGAGAGAGAGAGAGAGAGAGAGAGAGGAGAGAGAGGAGAGAGAGAGAGAGAGAGAGAGAGAGAGAGAGAGAGGACTTCACAAAGTTCCCTGCAGGGACATGGGTAGGGGGAAGTTGGGGGGTGTCGTCCCCAAACCTTCACCATGAAAGACCCCCTCTGACCCCATTCTGATGAGACCCCCCCCCCCCCTATCAACCCTCACCCACCAACACACACACATACACTCTACCCTCCCCTACCCCCTTCCCCCTTCCCCTCCTTCCCCCGCCTGCCTCAGGGAGTACTCCATGTGTACCATTATATCACCAGGCCAAAAAACTCTCTCTTGAAAAGCAACACTGTCAGGCAACACTGTAGCGTGCAACACTGCCTGCTATCCTGCCTGAAGCAAGACTGTAGCGTGCAACACTGCCTGATATCCTGTCTGAAGCAACACTGTAGCGTGCAACACTGCCTGATATCCTGCCTGAAGCAACACTGTAGCCTGCAACACTGCCTGCTATCCTGTCTGAAGCAACACTGTAGCGTGCAACACTGCCTGCTATCCTGCCTGAAGCAACACTGTAGCCTGCAACACTGCCTGATATCCTGCCTGAAGCAACACTGTAGCGTGCAACACTGCCTGCTATCCTGCCTGAAGCAACACTGTAGCCTGCAACACTGTCTGATATCCTGCCTGAAGCAACACTGTAGCGTGCAACACTGCCTGATATCCTGCCTGAAGCAACACTGTAGCGTTTCAACACTGCTGATATCTTGCCTGAAGCAAGGGCTGTAGCGTGCAACACTGCCTGCTATCCTGTCTGAAGCAACACTGTAGCCTGCAACACTGCCTGCTATCCTGTCTGAAGCAACACTGTAGCCTGCAACACTGCCTGCTATCCTGTCTGAAGCAACACTGTAGCCTGCAACACTGCCTGATATCCTGCCTGAAGCAACACTGTAGCCTGCAACACTGCCTGCTATCCTGTCTGAAGCAACACTGTAGCGTGCAACACTGCCTGCTATCCTGCCTGAAGCAACACTGTAGCCTGCAACACTGCCTGATATCCTGCCTGAAGCAACACTGTAGCGTGCAACACTGCCTGCTATCCTGCCTGAAGCAACACTGTAGCCTGCAACACTGTCTGATATCCTGCCTGAAGCAACACTGTAGCGTGCAACACTGCCTGATATCCTGCCTGAAGCAACACTGTAGCGTGCAACACTGCCTGATATCTTGCCTGAAGCAAGACTGTAGAGTGCAACACTGCCTGCTATCCTGTCTGAAGCAACACTGTAGCCTGCAACACTGCCTGCTATCCTGTCTGAAGCAACACTGTAGCCTGCAACACTGCCTGCTATCCTGTCTGAAGCAACACTGTAGCCTGCAACACTGCCTGCTATTCCTGTCTGAAGCAACACTGTTAAGCCTGCAACACTGCCTGATATCCTGCCTGAAGCAACACTGTAGCCTGCAACACTGCCTGCTATCCTGTCTGAAGCAACACTGTAGCGTGCAACACTGCCTGCTATCCTGCCTGAAGCAACACTGTAGCCTGCAACACTGCCTGATATCCTGCCTGAAGCAACACTGTAGCGTGCAACACTGCCTGCTATCCTGCCTGAAGCAACACTGTAGCCTGCAACACTGTCTGATATCCTGCCTGAAGCAACACTGTAGCGTGCAACACTGCCTGATATCCTGCCTGAAGCAACACTGTAGCGTGCAACACTGCCTGATATCTTGCCTGAAGCAAGACTGTAGCGTGCAAAACTGCCTGATATCCTGCCTGAAGC